ATGCGTGCGGCCCGGGTTCGATCCTCAGCACCACATACCAACAAAGATGTTGTGTCCGCCGAGAACTAAAAAAAAAATAAATATTAAAAAAAAAATTCTCTCTCTCTCTCTCCTCTCTCACTCTCTCTTTAAAAAAAAAAAAGAAATAAAAGAACTAAAACTAAAAGAACTAATGATGAAGGAGAGGAGCATTCAAGAAAAGCTGCTGCTGATGAGTTAGTTGGTAGTTGAAAGGAGCAGTTACAAACTAGCTTTCAAACCTGAAGTTTACATACTTCATTCTTTTTGCTTTGCCCATTTTTGCTAATTGTCTATAATCCCCAAAGGATTTAAATTAATTAATCCAGTGTTAATGCAGTAATTCATAAATGGAGTTTTAATTTTAAAACATCCTTTTTATAACCTAGTGTTTCCAGCATAATAAATTCCCTATGCAATTAAAACTTTGATTAAACTAAAACCTGCAAAAATACTATAATAAAAGTTTTCTGAATGGATCCCTGAACAGATTCAAAGGTTTGACCTAGAAATCTTTATAGCTCGGATGTATTAAAATATTTACTATAGGGGCTGGGATTGTGGCTAGAGCGCTTGCCTAGCACTCATGAGGCACTGGGTTTGATCATCAGCACCACATAAAAATAAAATAAAGATATGTGTCCGCCTATAATTAAAAGATAATTATTTTTTTAAATACTTACTATAATCTTTGCCAAGGAAAAGCAAAAACTCCCTTAATCTTTTATGATTATAAAAGAAATAAAAGTAATATATCTGCGTGAAAGAATTTCTAAGTTTGTGCGAATAAACTGTCTCTGCCAACATGCAAAGAGCTGTCACCTAACCACCACAAGAGGGCAATAGCGCTCAACCGTCAACGGGGAACCGAGCAGCGCGCAGGAGACATCCTTAGAGAATCATTAGAACCCGTTGTTAAGGCATCAATCTCTGGAAAAGACAGGAAACAAGAACCACCTCCCAATGGGTTCAGAGCTTTGTCTCTGGTAACAATAAGACAGGAAATAAGCAACCGGGGCTTGTGAAAGGGAGAGACCTCTCTCCCCATCAGCATGTCCTTAAATCACCATGGAGATAGCAAAAAACTTCATAATGGCTGTAGACAGGGATCTGTTCATTTGGATGTTGAACTAAGAACACTGAGGCTGGCATGGGTGGAACAAAGCTCTTAATACGGATTCAGGAAAGGTAGAATAAAGCTGTGGGGAGCAGCAGAGCTGTTTTATCTGGAAAATCAGGACTGGTTTTAGGAGTGTCAAATGGTGAACTTTAATCATAACATTCAAACATTAAGGTGATCAAAGTATCTTTAGAAACCTGTAGCATTATCTTATAAAGTTTCCAGGAAGCTAATTAGTACAAAGAAAGATCAGTTATTACAAATGCACCCTAAATATTTCAAGTATGTATTTTGATTGGTCTAATATTGCCCATTAAATGAAATGTATCAGATATTTTTAATGTGTTTTCATGACTAGCATCTGGTTTTGTTTTTATTCATAATTGTCATTAATGTTATTGAGCTCTAATCTGGAAAAATTTTTAGTATTTGAAAAACCAAATTAAATTATTCTTTAATGTTATTTCAACTCTACATTTATTGAACACTTACAATTGAATGAGGAAAGACAGTGCCTGCATGTGTGTGTTAAAAGGAATCTTTGAAAATTAATTGAACTCACGTTTTAAAGTCAGCTTCAGATAAAAATGGAGACTTGTGAATGTTTTCCACATTTTATGTCCCTTTCTTTTCATATATTGTAACTTTTGTTGTAATAGTACCTTCATAACTATAGGAAAGCTAAACCTAATTTAGGGAAACTTGTTCTTTGTATTGGTAGAAGACAGGGAGATAAAGTGTTCTGTTTTTAAATCCTAATGGGTAATTGTCATTATTATAGATAAGTTATGAGATAGAAGACCTTATATTTAAAGCTCTTAATTAGAAGTACATTTAATGGTTTATTCAATTCAATAAGCAATTATTTATTGGTTTAGACACTGAGTTAACTACTATGAATAATGAAAATAAAACAGACATGGGAGCGGGAGATACCTCTGTGATAGATCTTTGTATATATTTTCTTATTAATCCTCATAAAAATCCTGAGGTACTACTCCAATTTTTCAGAAAAAGAAACTTAGGTTTAGAACAATTAAATGACCTGCTTAGGGTCACAGAATTCGTTGGAGTAGAATCAAAATTGGAATCCAGATTTGCTCAAGTCTAAAGTACATACTCTTTCCACTGGACCATTCTGTCTGAATATTAGTTATTGACTCCTAGAAAAATATTTTTATGAATGGCAGTTTAATAATTTTCAATTTAACAACTTTAAAAATCTGTGAAGAGTAACTGTATATTTAAAAATAATTTTTAATTAGGGACTAATACCTGTGTAATTATTACAAAGCTATATTCTATACCCAACCTTAACTTTATGCCATGTTTTGAGTCAGACAGTTTTAAAGATAGAAAACATAGGAACAGTTGATGCTCTCCATCTCTCCCTGATCTTGTTCTTTTCTCATTACACTATTATGAATTTGGTATTTTTCAGTTTCATGCATGATTTCTTTTTTTCTACATCCTTGTGAACTATTTTACAGATTTTTAAACTTCTTAAATTATATACAAATGTACATAATATTCTATGACTTTTTGGGCTCAATATGTTTTTGAGATTGAGCTGTCTATTAATGTTTCTTTAATTGTTAACTGTTGCTGTGCAGTATTCCTTTGTCTGTATATATCAAAATGTATCTATCCATATTCTTGTAGTTACATATTTAAGTAAGATTTTGCTATGGTTTTGACTCCAAATGTATCTAACRAACTTTAATCATAGTATTGGAATTTAATCATTTTAATTATAAAATTACAAACCTAGTCACACTAACTTGGGTTTGTTTTTTTTTTTTTTTCCTTGATGCAGGTCATTCCCGAATTGAAGTATGGAAATTTGGTAATACTGTCATTGAACTTCTGTATCACTGGATACACGTCTGTTTAGCTCTTATGCAACTAAGCAAAAAAGTTAATAATGCTATTATACCTCCATTGCCCTCCAAGTCTGACAGCAGTAGGTATGCAAAAATGCCTGGGGAACCTTTGCCAAAGAAATAACGTTAATGGAAATGGTACTGGATTTAGAGTATATTGGTCATTCATGTTCAGTGTAACTATAAAATATTTTCAACTGGGAAAGAAGTGCCACATAGACATATTCTGCTCCTAGACATTTACCTCAGCATTTTCTAAATCCAGAAGTACTACCTAAGGAGAAATTTTATCTAAAAAATATCCAGTTAATGTAGCCATAATCAAAAGTTTAGTACATCATAGAATATATCTGAAAGTTCCCTTTTCATTTGAACTTTGTGTATACCATGAAACTACTATAGATGATTGGGTGGTTACTTTTAATATGTTTTAAGGGACAACTTAGGGAAAAAATGGCAGTTTCTACATCAAAAGGGAACCAAATAAAGATTTTAAGAAATGGACTTGAAATTGTTTTTCTAATTTTTCAAAGACTTAATTGAATGCTACCCTTCCTCCTCCCCTTTTCTTTTTTAATGAGCAAAAATTCTTGTGGAAAAATGTTTGTCCATGACTCATGGCAAAAAAGAAAACAGCATTTCTTTTTAAATGATATAAACCTCTCAAGTTTGAAAACTACAAAAAGAATTTGTATTTGCTTAAAGCTTGTTATTAAAGCAAACTTTACTGCTATGCTGTGAGATTTCATCTTTGCAATAAGATATCTGATGAAAGATTCCATTTTTAATAAAATTTTGGGAAATTAAATTTTATTTTCTTTATTAGGTTGACAAAATGTAATATGTTCTAAACATCTTATAATTGGAGATTGGAGATCTCTTTTTAACCTTTTCTGATAAGATGGCAGTGTTATTACCAGTTCTCATCTCTTGGATGATCTCATGCCCTGTTTTAACCTGTCAGCCTATTTCATATTTGGAGGAGGGCATTTTGAGAGATTTGCAACATTTCTAGGAACAGTGTTCTTGAAGATATTAAACTGATAGCACACATCCAAATGGTTTCAGAACAAGCTTATTAAGAGTTCATTGTGGGGGCTGGGGATGTGGCTCAAGCGGTAGCACGCTCGCCTGGCATGCATGCGGCCCAGGTTCGATCCTCAGCACCACATACCAACAAAGATGTTGTGTCCGCCGAGAACTAAAAATAAATAAATAAATAAATATTTTTTTAAAAAAAAGAGTTCACTGTGAATACAAATGGCATTTTAGGCAGTGAGGAAGGGAAGATTTTGCAGAATACTGTTTTTAACCATTATCATGGTAATTAACTAAATGACCTCTGGCTTAATGGTAACAAATATCATAAAAATTTTGGTGCATGAACCTGTTTGAAGTATTTTCACATATTAGCTCACTTGATCCTCTCAGTCTGTAAAGTAGGTATCATGATATTATCTCCAACTTATAAATGAGAAAACAGGCTCAAAGAATGAGTGAGTTGCCCAGTTCTCAACAGCTAGTATTCTTAGAAGTGGGTTAAGAAGCTAAAAAGAGCCAGGACATTGGTGTATGCCCCAAATCCCAGCAACTCGGGAAACTGAGGCTAGCCTCAGCAACTTAGCCAGTTCCTGTCTCAAAAATTTAAAAAAGTAAAATGAGCTGGGGATGTGGCTCAGTGTTTAAGTGCCCCTGGGTTCAATGCCTGCTCAAAAAAAAAAAAAAAAAAAAAAGAATTTTTAGTTCATCATCTTTGCTAGCACCCCAGACATTTTATTGACATTTTCCAAATTTCTTATTAGGCTGACAATTATACTATCAGTCTTTTAGAAAATACTTTAAAAATTAAGTGACCAAGGTAGGCTTATGGCTCAGTGGTAGAGTGCTCGCCTAGCATGTGGGAGGCTCTGGGTTTGATCCTTAGCACCACATAAAAATAAAGGTATTGTGTCCAACTACAAATAAAAAATAAATATTTTTAAAAAATTAAGTAACCAACCAGCCAGACTGGTTGAATTTATTTAACTATCATTCAAGTAAAGTACTATTCTTTAACACTAAGAGCTGATTTTTTTTTAGTTGTTGATGGACCTTTTATTTATTTTTATATATGGTGATGAGACTTGAACCCAGTGCTTCACACATGCTAGGCAAGCGCTTTTCCACTGAGCTACAATCCCAGCCCAGAGAGCTGATTTTTTTTTTAATTGAGAAGAATGTTAGTTATACTTGACAAAAATTTCAATGTAGATTATATCTAAATCCATTTATTACACTGGTCATAGCTTTATCAGTTTCTTATATTTGCATATATTTCAAAATTTTGACTAGGTTAATTGGATTTTTATGATTTTATTCTTGTAATTTTATTAATAATACATAAATGGTTAATGGATTGACAGGCATCAGCAACTATTGTGTGAAAAAAAGTATTTTCTATATTATCCAGCTTACCAATGATTGTTCATAAGCTGATTAAAAATTTCATCTTGGACCCAAGTTTACACAATAAATAAATCTAACTTTTGCAATCACCCATTATATCTTTAAAAAACAAGCAAACAATCAATGTCACATTTCTTCAACCTTTAAAACACTTTCCCAAGTTGCTTGTTGGGATTAGAAGCACAGGGCTGACAAAGAAATATGGATAAAAATTTCTGTGAAACTGTCCATCATTAATGTTTTTCTGATGGACAGGACTTATACTGATGTATAATGGAAAAAAATACCCTTGTTTATCTCTTCAATTTCTTACCCCTTAAATGTCCACATTAATAAATCTTATCATTTGTGTAAAACATCTTAACACATGTTATGAAATGTTCATGGCAAAGGGCAGATCAAGAGCCAAGGTCCTGGCAAGCTGGGAAACGCTACATAATCCTCTCTTTCTATGATTATTGACCTAGACACAAGTACATATATCTGGAAACAAAAGACAGAACCTTGCAGTATTTCCACAGTGATAATAATTAGCTTCCCCTGCAAGTAAAAGTAGCCACGTGGCCTTAGTCACAAAGAAAAGGCAGGTAGCTCCTGGAATGCCAGCAGCCATCCCTGGCTCTGTCTCCCATTGTGGCAGAGGTGCCATGCTGCTCTGGGGTCATATAGAAGGCCATCTGGTGGCTTATATCTCTGCAGCATGGTTTGCTCCAGTATTTACAATGCATTTCAGTGAGTCACCTGTTCCACTGAACATTCCCATCAGATGACACCCAGGGCATCAGTAGATCATCACTTTTGAGATCCAGTGATCACTAACTCTCCTGGTATTGGCCAGTATGCCCTACCACTGAAATCACTGGTCTTTTGGGTTTCCTTGTCTTTTCTTGTTTTTATAATTTGGGGGAACAAACCCCCACCCCCCATTGCTGCAGGTTAATTGGATTTTGTACTGGCTCTTCCCCCAGAGAACATCAGTAAATGACACTGTGTAGTATGAGCTCTCCAGATCACTTTCTTTTATACTCATGGCTTTCCATGGCCAAGGAAGAACAACAACTCTTTTTTTCAGTACTAGGAATTAAATCCAGGGAGTGCTCCACCACAGAACTATATCCTCAGCCCTTTAGTCATTTTGAAACAGGGCCTCACTAAATTGCTGAGGTTCCTGAGTGGCTGTTCATTACAGTATCCCTAAGGCAATGGGAGAATACACTCAAGACAGCAATTCAAAAATTCACATTATCCAGGATATTGGGCTCCCTACTGAGTAATTTTGTATAATCAGTTCTCCATTCTTTTCAAGTAAGAGGCAGACAGTCCTGTCAGGGGCTTTTTTTTTTAAATTATTCTTTATTGATTCTTTTTATTTTAAGCAAAGTAACACATGTTCACAGTTTAAAGAGGCATCCTATTATGCAAAGATCTGTTGAKACCAGAGCATTTCCTAGTCCCACCTCATCCCTATTTTCTTTTCTTCTAAGTTCAACTACTTTCAATTCTTTTAGCTTAGGTGTTAGTAAATAGRCAAATCTGGCCAGCTGCCTGTTATGGCAAATGAAGTTCTATTGGAATAGCCTTGCCCATATTGTCTATACTTTCCTACTTTAAGGGCAGAGTTGAGCAGTTTACAAGACCATATGACCCACAAAGCCCTAGATATTTATTATCTGACTACATGCAGAAAGTTTGCCAACCCCTATTTGGGCTGTAGTTTTGACATTGACCTCCATATTGCTAAATAACATGCTGTGTGGCTATTGTTTTCCCACCAAATTAGGAAATATTAGCCTCCCAGTATGCAATATAAAGATTTAGCTCCTTTCTTAGTGTTTTCCTATTAGCATACTTGCACACACATGCACACACATAACTTCCCTTCATTTTTCCATTATTACATTGTCATTTAAGTTAAAATAGATCAATATTCAGTATTTACATTAACATGATTATATAAACTATTTAGGGTTTAGCCATGTAGTAAATTGCAATAATTTTTCACTCCTGTACATCTTTTCACTTTTCCTGGAGTTAAGATCAAAAGAAAATTGGAGCAGCTAAAATAATATCACACAAGTAGATTTCAGAGCAAAGAATATTAATATGATAAAGAAGATTATTTCATAATGAAAAGGGTCAATTAATTAAGAAGACATGACAATCTTAAGCATTTATACATCTAGTAATGGAACTTCAAACTACAAAAACTTCAAGTCTATGGAAATAAAGCAGATTAGTGGTTGCTTAGGGTTGAAGGGTTTGGGAGAAAATATAAGTGACCAGCAGGCACATGTTTGCTTTTGGGGGGTATTGAAAGTATTCTAAAATTGATTGTGGTGATGTCAGTACAAGTCCTTGAATATGTGCCATTGATCTGTACACTTTAAATGGGTAAACTGTATGTGAATTATATCTCAGTAAAGTTGCTTTTAAAAAAGAGTTAAAGAGTCAGTATGGTGGTTCACACTTAAAATCCCAGGGACTTGGGAGGCTGAGGTGGGAAGACTGAATCTAAGTTCAAGGCCAGCCTTAGCAACTTAGCAAGACATTGTTCCAAAATAAAAAATAAAAAGGCCTGGAGATAAAACTCAGTAGTACTGGGTTCAATTCCCAGTACTAAAATTAATTAAGTAATTGACTATTTTTAAAAAATAATAACAATTTATTTTGCAATTCATAACAGAAGAAAATGTGGAACAATAGCACAAAGGAGCCATAAATAAATAAATAAATAAATAAATTTGGGGGGGATACTGGGGATTCAACCCAGGGGGGCTTTACCACTGAGCTACATCCCCAACCCTTTTTATTTTTTGAGACAGAGTCTTGCTAAGTTGCTGAGGCTGGCCTCAAACTTTTGATCTTCCTGCCTCAGCTTCCTGAGTCACATGCTCCACTGGGTCCACTACAAGTATATATTTTTGTAAGCTTCTTACACTGTACATAAAGTGATTTTTCTTTACTTTTTTTTTTTGGTGCTGGGTATGGAACTTAGAGGCTCCCCAACATGCTAGGTAAGTGCTCTACCACTGAGCTACATCCTCTAAAGTAGCATGTTCTTACTTGAAGGTAGACTGTGACAAATTTGAGATGTCTCTCAGAAGCCCTTAAACAACACTTTATAAAAATGACAAGCAAAGAATTATGTCTAATAAACCAACAAACGATATTGGATCATAAACTGAATCATAAAAATTTATCTATTAAGCCAAAAAGAAGGTCAAAATAGAGGAGAGAGGAGGCTAGAAAAGAAAAAAGATGGGAAAAATAAAATACAAATAATAGCAACCATACTAATAATCACTTCAATGAAAATATTTTAAACACCTCTTTGGGGGGCTGGGGTAATAGGGGTTGAACCCAGAAGCTCTTTACCACTGTCCAGATCCCTAACCCCTCTGTATTATTTTGAGACAGGTCTAGTTAAGTTGCAGAGGCTGGCCTCAAATTTGTGATTCTCCTGCCTCAGTCTCCCTAGTCACTGAGATTACAGTGTCCACCACTGTGCCTGGAAACACCTTTTAAAAGGAAGAAACTATCAGAATGGATTAAAAAAGGGAAGGCTCAATGATATGATAACAACAAGAGATCCAATTTTAATATAAATACCATATAAACAGATTAAAATACAATTTTAATACAAGTACCATATAAATACATTAAAATAGGTTAAAAGTAAAAGGATGGAAAACAATATGGCATTTTAACTTTAATCAAAAGAAAGTTAGTGGGGCTGGGGATGTGGCTCAAGCGGTAGCGCGCTCGCCTGGCATGCGTGCGGCCCGGGTTCGATCCTCGGCACCACATGCCAACGGGGATGTTGTGTCCGCCGAGAACTAAAAAAAAATAAATATTAAAAATTCTCTCTCTCTCCTCTCTCACTCTCTCTAAAAAAAAAAAAAAAGAAGAAGAAGAAAAAAAAGAAAGTTAGTGGGCGTAGGGATATGGCTCTACGTTAAAGTGCTTGCCTAGAATGCATGAGGCCCTGGATTTGATCCCCAGCACAGCAAAATATAAATAAATAAAAATAATTTAAAAAGAAAGCTAGCAAGCCAAGTGCAGTGCCACAATCCACTAAGGAGGCTGAGGTAGGAGAATCAAGAGTTTGAGGCCAGTCTCAGCAATTTAGCAAGGTCCTCAAAAACGTGGTGAAAAAAAAAAAATAAACAAAACCAAAAACGTGGTGAGACCCCATGGTGGGGTTTGTGGCTCAGTGGTATAACGCTCACCTAGCTCACGCAAGGCCCTGGATTCGACCCTCAGCACCATATAAAAAATAAATAAAATCAAGGTATTGCGTCCAACTACAACTAAAAAAATTAAAAAAAAATATATATATATATATATAGAAAGGGGAGGGAATGTAGCTCAATGGTAAAGCACCCTTGGGTTCAATCACCAGTCAAAAGAAAATAAAAAGGAAAGAAAGAAAAGCTAGTTATATATCAAAGCAGACTTAAGAGAGGAATAAATAAAAACTTACTTTTTCCCCCAATGACAGGGATGGAATCCAGGACCTCAGGCATGCTAAGAAAGCACTCTGCCACTGAGTTACAATCTAGCTCTGAGGGTCACTTAGTAAAATTTAACACAAGAGGACATCACAATATTAACCTAACTTCTGACAGAATTAAAAGAGGAAGCATACAAATCCATGATTGGAGATTTCAAAATCAATCTTTCTGTAATTGAGATCTATCTCTTCGGCTCCTCTTAAACTAGTTTGGAACAAGCCAGAAGTGCGTGGATACAGATGGACTGTGGAGGTTGTTTTCTTGACTCCTATTAGATCACGAAGCTAATTTAGCCTTTTTTTTTTTTTTTTTTTTTAGCAGACATGAACTGAGCTTTCCACTAATATATGTGTGGGTATAGTTTTTTTTTTTTTAATGTTACTTTAATTTCACCATCTGAAGCATTTCTAAACTTTTATTTCTCTTCCTTGACAAATAAAACAAAAAGTATCATATGATCTTGATGCCTATACCCAAGGGCACCACAAACAATACTGTTATCAGCATACATATTTTAATTTTCTGCCTAATTATCCTGAGCCAGTTATATTTAAATCTTAACACCCAGAAAGGGGGAAAAAAACACCAACCAAAACACAAACACACACACACACACAACACACACACACACAACACACACACAGGGGAAAAAAACACCAACCAAAACACACACACACACACACACACACACGGGCTAGAGTAGCGGATTTCAAATTCGAGTTTTAGAATTACCCAGCGCTCTCATGGAAATTTGGATGCTTAGCTCCACCCCAGAGTTTCTGATTCACTGTTTGGGATGGGAACCGAGAATTGTAATTCTAACAATATCTTTGGTGATGCGGATACTGCTGGTTCCATGATCACGCTAAGAATCACTGGGCTAGAATTTTGTCCTTCCTTTCTTCCCACTGATTTCAAGGCAGCCGTCGGCCCCAAAAGGAAACAAGCAGTTTTGAGTCCAGTTCCCAGGAATGCGAAAGTGACTCAATATTCTCAACCTCAAAGCCGTTTCCGGGCGGCCCAAAACCGCGCGAGAGTTTACGTGACGGCGTCGGCGTCAGCGTCACGTCGTCGCCGGCCACGTTCAGCGGAGACAGGAGCAAGATGGCGATTCCGGGCAGGCAGTGAGTGATCCGGGAGTTAGGGTCAGGCTGGGGAAAGAAAAGCTACGGCGACTTTGTCTTTGGCTGAGGAGTTAAAGTGTGCTGGAAGTGAAGGGGCCGTGGCGTCAGGGATAGAGACGGGGAAAAGCGAGAAATCCTCTGCAACCTAGATTCCCCACCCCCATACATTTTGCAGGATGGAAGCCCGAAGTTTGAGGGAGAAACTTGTGAGGAAATAAAGGAAGTTAGGCTGAGGGGCAGAGAGCGAGACTTTTCTATTTTCCAAAAGCTCGGTCTGAGGCCCCTCAGTCTTGCTTCCTACCCCGCGCTTGAGTTTCTCCCCGGTTGGATGCTCTCTCAGGAGCACTAAGAAGAGACAATTCCTGGTTTCCTTAGAGGGCCTTGTTCTCCTTGGCAGAAGCTCAAGTCCTGATTCCCGCCCTCCCTTCTTGTTTTAGGAATGTTGTGCTGAGAAGCCACAGAAAAGGGTAGGCATATAGGGAATTGGTGTATACATTGCCGCAAAAGAGAAATATTGTACGTACTTAAAAGTTTTTACCTTTGATGTGTAATCCTTAACTTTCGATGCGGTTTCCGTGATCTCCGCATCTTAGAGGCCAACACGTGAGAAACTAAATGAGTTGAATCTGATGGGATGGTTCTCTTAGATGCTCCAAGACAAAGCAAGTGAGCTTAATAAAGTGTAATGGGAACTTGGCTCGTGGCTATTTGGATTTCTCAGTTAAATAATTTTTAAATTTTTTCGTGCGTTACATTATTTAATAACTTCTTAAAAGCTGTTGAAGTACGCAGGAGAAAAAAAGTCTGGTTGTTTTCTTGACTCCTGTTAGATCACGAGGCTAATTTAGCTTTTTTTTTATTTTTAGCAGACATGAACTGAGCTTTCCACTAATATATGTGTGTGTATAGGTTTTKTTTTTTTATGTTACTTTCACTTCACGATCTGAAGCATTTCTGAACTTTTCATATATTTCTCTTCCTTGACAAAAATGATACTTGACTTTGGCCCTGGTGTACAGATAACCGGAATAGAAATTGTAAAATCTTAATGCATATTAGAATTTTGAGGTTACTGAAAATCAAAAAGTGTGTTTGTTTTTGTAGACTATTTGACATATTTTGACCTGATAACTTCATCTGGAAGAGGTAGTGGATGTATTATTTTTTGACATTTAAAGATAATGGTGTAATTTCTATTTCAAAAAAAAAAAAATGCAGGTATGGGCTTATTTTGCCAAAGAAAACACAGCAGTTGCGCCCGGTTTTGCAAAAACCTTCAGTGTTTGGGAATGATTCTGATGATGATGATGAGGTAAGGGAACCTATGTTTTACTCCTATATCGGAAATAGAAATTTTATAAAATCTTAAGTTGTGATATAGATGTTTTTGCGTTTGTTATTTGTGAATAGTATTTTAGAATATAATTTACGGAATTATCAAAAGGAATGTTTAAAGGGAAAAGCTCCACTCATTTTTCTTTATAACCTAATAGGTTTTTTTTTTCTTTATAACCTRAAGCTGTGAACTTCATTGCTCTAAGAGTTCATAAAAAATTTTTTTTTGATAACTAAAATTGAGGTAACAAACTTATTGCTATTAAAATCCCTAGTAGCTGGGTGCAGAGGCATCTACTTATAATCCAAGCTACTGGGGAAGCTGAGGCAGGAGGCTTGCAAGTTTGAAGCTAGCCTGGGCAACTTAGACTCTGTCTCAAAATTAAAAAAAAAAAAAAAAAAGAAGGTGGTACTGGGGCTGTAGCTCAGTGGTAGGTAGAATGCTTCCTTAGCTTAGCATGCAGGTGGTGACCCCAGGTTCAATCCCTAGTAATGGCAGGGCGGGCAGCATAGGAATGAGTTGTTAACATGTTACCATTTCCTGGAAAGTTTATTAGCAAAGTCATTTTTAATTTGTTAACCATGCTCTAGCTAGCATGAATGAGTAACAGTTCTTTCTGGTATTACTTTTGTGGTTATTTCTTCAGTGTCTGCTAAAGCTAATTGCACAGTTAAAATTACAGTAGTGAATACAGTTATTGTTGATGTACTACAATAATAATAGCATATGAAAATTTTATGTTGTAGCATCCGTAACAATATTTTTTGAGAAACCTAGTTTTTAGCAGAAACAGCTACATGTCTGTTTTTCCTAATACTGTATTTTTTATATTTCTTAAAACAAAGACCTTTGCATCAGTTCATCTGGTACCCCTTTTGCTGTGGCAGAAAAATAGCTTCTCTTTCAGTTTTTACTAACTATATAGTAGCATAGATAGATATTTGATATTTTCTTCTTTTGAAGAAATTGGCTATATTTGAATCGTACTTTTTAAAATTGAGGTTGAACTTACACGTAATAAAAATCTGTAGATTTTAAATATATAGGTAAGTGATTTTGATAAATGTTTTTGCCCTAATCAAGATGTAGAGCTTCTTTTTTGTACATAATTCCATGCCCCCTCTTCAGTCAGTTTACCTTCCCACATTTTGCCCCAGGAAACTGCTTATATGAGTTCTATYACTAGTTTTCCCTGTTGGAGAATCTCATATAAAGAAATCATTCAGTGTGTACTCTTTTTATGTCTGGTTTCTTTTTCCTAAGTATGTCAGTGAGATTATCCATGCAGTCATAGAATCACATTTTACTGAAAGTGGATTTTTTCCCTTTAATAGTTATGTAAGTTTTTCTTCTATTTTTCTGTTTTTATTTCCTCATACACTTTAAGAATAGTTGAGTATAAGAAATGAGTCACGATTTCTAGATGAATCTGTGTAGGTAGCTAGATTATTTTCAAATAGCATATTTAGAAAGTTATTAATTACAACTTGAATTTTTTGTTTCAAGATACTTTATTGTTTCAATAAATATTTAATATAGGTTAAGAATTGATTAGTTTTGTAGTTGTAGCCTGTGTGCTTTATTCTTTGTGACACCTTTATAACTTTTTCTTGGAGGAGGTTAATATACACTGGCTTAGAATTTTTTGACTTTATGAATCATAAATTCAGAAGCAACAAACATTCAGTAGAAATCATACATTGAATTGTGATCTTTTTCTTGGGCCAGCTGTACAGTGCTTTCTTGTGTGATGGTGGGCAAAGATGTTAATCCACAGGTGTCAGTCAACTATACTATCATGAGAGTAAACAACCCATCTATAGTATACTGTGTTACTGAGCTATGATGTTCAAGTTAGGTGTATTAAATATATTTTTGACTTAAGATATTTTCAGCTTATGGATTTATCAGGATAGCCACACTATAAATTGTGGCACATCTGCATAGTGTTGTGTTTAGCCAATTTGTAGTTTAATAAGAAACACATTTTGGGGCTGGGGTTGTGGCTCAGCAGTAGAGCATTCACCTAGCACGTTCGAGGCCCTGGGTTCGATCCTCAGCACCACATAAAAACAAACAAACAAAATAAAGGTATTGTGTACAACTAAAAAAAAAATAAAATATTTTTTTAAAAATAAGAAAGACATTTTATCCTTTATTGTATTTTTTATCTTTATACAAGATTTTTCTGGTCTTTTTCCCCCTTTAAAATATCATTAAGCCTGGCGTGGTTGTGCACACCTGTAATCTCAGTGTCTTGGGAGGCTGAGGCTGGAGGATCAAAAGACTTCAAAGCCAGCCTCAGCAATTTAGTGAGGCCTTAAGCAACTTAGCTTTGACCTTGTCTCAAAAGCAAAACATTAAAAGGGCTTGGGATGTGGCTCAGTGGTTAAGTTCAATTTCTGCCCCCAACCCCTGAAAAAATCATTGAGATAAAATCCACAAACCATATACTTCACCCTTTTAATTCTGCAATTCACTGGTGTTTAAAAGTTGTACAACCACCACCATCTAATTTTGGAACATACTTCATCACCTAGAAATAAACTTGGACCCATTGAGATCACTCCTCATTCTCCCTACCCCCAAACCCTGGCCACTATTAATCAACTTTCTATGACCATGGATTTGCCTATTCTGGAAATTTCATATAAATAGGATTATGCACCTTTTGTGGCCAGCTTCTTCCACTTAGGATAATGTTTTCAAAGTTGTACCATGTATYACAACTTTATTTCTTTTCCTCCTCTTTACTCCCCCCCCCCCCATGGTGGGCGTGGAAGCCAGGGCCTCATGCAGGCAACTTTTTATTTTTTTAATTACTGAATATGCTCCACTGTATGTATATACCACAATTTTTTTTTGAATTTTTAATATTTATTTTTTAGTTTTCGGCAGACACAACATCTTTGTTGGTATGTGGTGCTGAGGATCAAACCCGGGCCGCACGCATGCCAGGCGAGCGCGCTACCGCTTGAGCCACATCCCCAGCCCCTATACCACATTTTTTTAATCCATTCAGCAGTTGGTGGACATGCGAATTGTTTTCAGTATCTGGGTATTATAAATAAATAACATTTGCTATATATATATTTGTATAGCAGTTTGTATATAGGTTTTTGGGTGGACATGTGTTTTCCTTTATATCGTGTAATCAGGTATGTATGTGGAATTGTTAATTTATATGATAACCATTTTATCTTTTAAAGAATTGCCAGACTGTTTTCCAAAGTAGCTATGCCATTCACTTTTCCATCAAACAGCATTGAGGGTTCCAGCATTTTCACATCTTCCCCAACCCTTTGTTTTTTTTGATAGCCTTCTAGTGGCTGTAAAATGGTATCTCATTATGGTTTCAATTTCCTTTTTTCTGATGAAATGTCTGGGGCTGGGGTTGTGACTCAGTGGTAGAGCACTTGCCTAGCATGTGTGAGGCACCGGGTTTGATCTTTGGCACTATATAAAAATAGATAAATAAGCTGAATACGGTGACTGCACACATGTAATTCCAGTGGCTTGGGAGTCTGAGACAGCAGGATCACAAATCCAAAGGAGCCTCCGCAACGGCAGTGCGTTTAGCAACTCAGTGAGACTGTGTCTCTAAATAAAACACAAAATAGGGCTGGGGATGTGGCTTAGTGGTTGAGTGCCCATGAGTTCAATCCCCACTACTACCCCCCACCAAAAGAAAAGATAAATAAAGGTATTGTGTCCGTCTACAGTTAAAAATAAAAAAAAAAATTTTTTTAAAAGAAATGTCTGTTTGTGTCATTTACCTATTTTTAAATTGGGTTGTTATTTTATTATAAGAGTTCTTTATGTATTCTAGATACAAGTACCTTATTAAACACAAGATTTGCAAGTATATATGCTCCATTCTGTGAATTGTCTTTTCATTTCTTGATAATGCACTTTGAAGGACAAATTTTAAATTTTGAGTAAGTCCAATTTATCCCCCCCCTTTGGTTGCTAGTGCTTTAGTATTATATCTAAGAAACCATTGCCTGATTGAAAGTCACAGAGATTTACAACTATGTTTCCTTCTATAGTTTTGTAATGTTAGCTCTTAAGTTAGGTCTTTGATTCATTTTTAAATCACTTACCAAGGATATGACAGAAAGATAGAACATGTTTATCCTGTAGTTTCACATTAATTCAACCTGGTATACTGTGTAATACAAATTACAGTGTACCCCAGTTTGAGAAGAACAGGATTACATGGTCTAAAAAGTGTTTACTCATGTTATTACTGTTTCTTTTGCATTGTGAAATGAAGGTGATGGTAGCTGAACAGTGAGTGGGGTACGCTAGCCAAAAAAGAAGGACCTAAGCCATTTGTTGTAGCTTTTTTCTTCCCTCCCCTAGAGGGACTTTAATGTAGAGAATGCATTACACAGGTGATAGAAGAGTTGAGATGCCAAATAGAAGATGACTAGGCAATCCAGGGATTAGCAATAGTAAGAAGCAAGTAGTGGTAAATGGAGGGATGCAAGAATATAATGGGTGTTGGAGGCCAAGAAAGAACATTACCAGATGGGAACTAGACTTATCTAGAAATAACTGAGGCTCATGGGGAAATTTGAGTTTTATGTAGAGAAAAAGAGGAAAAAGTACCCTGGCATTCTCCTACCCTCCACTACACTCCTACTGGTGGAACCTAGTCAGAAACCAGCCAACAAGGGAGCTTAGTTTTTTGGGGTTTTTTTTTTTTTTTTTTTTTTTTTTTTTAGTATCCACAAAAATATTTATCATTAATTCAAACTCTTAACTAGGAGTGCATGTATTTTGGAAGACTTCCTAAACTAAAAATATATTTACATATTTATAGGTAACTACAATTTATAGAATAGAGATTAACAAACTAGAAGTATCATAAAATGGGAGCTTAGTTCTTAATGAACTACTATGAAACTTAGTTCTTAATGAACTACTATGAAACTTGTTTTACGTAGTTTTACTTACCTATAAAAAATCAT